TCGATAAGGCAAAATGGCCACGGCATATAATTGTTTGTTTTTGAATTTCGCGCAAAGCTACACAACTCTTTACAACTCGGGCTACTCTTTAACAAACGAATAGTGGGATTGACCATCACTTCATAACGACCCCACTGCTGAATGTCTTGAAACCATGCTGGCAAGAAACTGTCCATTCAAACTTCTGGCCTTTTTTGGTCAAATCATGTAGAGGAGCAGACATAGTTGCAAAGTCCTTCTCAAACTTCCGGTAGTAGGTACAAAGTCTCAAGAAACTTCTTAACTCTCCCACATTGTCTAGTGTTGGCCAATGACACTGTGTTTTCACCTTGTCAGGATCAGTTCGTACCCCATGCTCACTTACAATGTGACCCAAGTAAATGTTGCGTCAGCGAGGTCACGTGACTAGTGTCACGCCACGTTTTCTAGAAATATCCTGTTCCTTGAAGAATGTGTTAGTCTTGTGTATATAAGACGGTCACAACGTGACGGGAACAGTGTAGTGAGTAATTGAACTGCAGTCAGAGAGTATTGTTGAAGTTGAGCACGTTCGTTGTTATAGCACGACTGTTGAAAATAAGTGTATCCGTAAAGTTGTATTCGGAAAGAATAAACCAGTTTTATTAAGAAAGGACTTGTGTCGCTAAAGTTTCATCGGAACGAAGCTACGAAAAATTAATTAACAAACGGTGACGTAACATAAAGTACCTTTTGCTAGAACAAGTGGCATCTCTAGCCGGGATACTTCCTCATCAAACGTTACTGCAAACACAATGACATCATCCAGGTACACTAAGGCTATCTTCCAATGTCGGCCTTCCAGTACTCTTTCCATCAACCTCTCAAACGTTGCTGGAGCATTGCTAAGCCCGAATGGCATCACACAGTATTGCTAGAGACCTTGGCCATAACTAAATAGAGTTTTAGGTTTATCTGCTTCAACCATTTTCACTTGATGGAAACCCGACTTTAAGTCCAGAGTTGAAACCACTTGGCTGCACTTGGAGCATCAAGAGTATAATCAATTCTTTGCAGTGCGTATGAGTCTTTTTCGTTTATACTGTTAAGAGCCCTGAAACCCACAAACAACGTTGGGTCCCAAGTGTTCTTCTCGATTAACACGACGGGAGCTGACAAGGACTATCTGATTTCTAGACTATCCCTTCTTTAGTTAGGCCATCCATGACCTTCTCCATCTCTTGACGCTTTGCTGGAGCTATTCTACTTGGAGGGATCTTTATTGGACGGTGATTGCCTGTGTTTATTCTGTGCTCCGTAAGGTTTGTGCAACCAAGGTCATGATCTCCTTTTGAAAAGATGTCTGCATAATTTGCCAAAAGTTCTTTTACCTGAAGAGCCTGCGATGGTGACAAATGGACTATGCTCTTCTTATAGAGGTCAGTTAAATATTCTGGGAGTGTATGTCCTTTCTTTATTGTTGTATTTCTTGCCTTAACATTGACTGGCTCTACCTCCTGGCACACACCCAACAATGCTACTTCCTTAAATGTCTGCGCATATCTAGAGAAATTAGCCACTGTTATGGGTACTACTTGATGACCTGCCACAAGTGACCTACCAATCTTCACATCCGCTGGCATTAAGCTTCCTTGGGGATGTTCTTTTATTCTACTTCAAATTATCTTCTCTGACATAGGGGGTATTGAAGTTGACGTAAGTGCTGTGACATGCAAATCAACAGATGCAGCAATACTTACCGGAATTTGGCCTTTGATGTTCTCAAACGTCATTTTGTCAAAGTTAACTACACACTTCCTCGGTAGTAAGTTGTCCAACCGTAATATGCATTGATCTTCAATGTCAGCCAAAAATATTTGTGTCTGTCCTTTATACCCGTGTTAGCATCAGTACTGTTTCATAAACCTGAAATTTCGAGAAACTTTCCATACGCCTATAAATATAACCAACAGGACACGCCAAAAACAGAATATGTTATTGGTTTGAAATTAAGAGTATCGTAAAGTTGTATTCGG